GACCAGATGATTTTTATTATGTCCTGATACATAAAACCATAGAACTCAAAGAGGGTGTCGTTTCTTTTTCACACAATTGTATAAGAACCAACTGTACTTGGAAAAAGAATAGGGGGTATTCCAAAAAATAAAGGAAATCTAGAGATGGGTAACGCTATTAACCTGAAGACAAAAGGAGGCTTGGGAACATCTGTAAATGTAGCACCTATTTCCACTCCTTAAATGTGTCTTTTTTTATGGTGCTTTGAAAGAAAGCTGCATGATCCCAGGAAAAAGATGCAGCTGCTTTAAAAAGTACCAGACTGGGCCCACATTCACACCTGCATCTTTTTGCTTTGAATCCAAAACGCTGCTGAGCACTCAACCTGAGCTTTCAAATAATTGAGATCCATGTCCAAAACAGGGTTTCAGAAGTTTTAGGAGGTATATCAAATTCTGTCTTTTGTGCCTGTCCAAGGTTTTGCCCAGATTCATAAGGGGCAGGGAGAGAGAAGCTGGCCAGTTCAGCATCTGCTCCGGACACCCTGATTCATATAGCGCTCTTATGGCACAAAAGACTAATTCATTTATTGTAGCACAAGCTTTGAGGGGGCCCAGTCTCGAATTGCCAGCTGCAAAGTAATTTAGAGAGACTTTTGCAGATTGCAGAGTCTCCCCTCATTGCATAACAAGGAGGAATTAGGTTAAAAGTTGGCAAGCAAAATAAGTGATGATTTTTCTGCCAGTTTCCTAGGATGCAATGAAGACCCTAAAATGCAGGTGAGAGAGACCCCAAAAGAACAGCTGGGACAAAATACAGGGAGTTCAGATAAGGAGGGCGGAGAGCACCATCCATGGCCTGTTTTTAAGTCAATGGCAGGATGAACCAGAAAGATTGCTGCTTTCCCGTTGCTGCCCATCTAGGTTGCCTTCTGAAATTCTGCCTGGTCAAGAACATGTCTAGGAAATATAGTGAGCCAAGAGGGTTTCCCTGTCCACGGCAGCCTTTGGTTAATGTTGGCTGGTCTCCAAAAAGCCAGACAGGCTCAGATGAACTTGGAGGGGAGACCACCAGGAAATGCACAAATTGAAGATGAGATGGGAAGTGGAAAAAAAGTATCACTTCTGTAAGGGTTCCCAGGAAAGTTGAGGGACGCGTCAATTCCGAGACTTGTATTTTTAGGCTTTTGTAAGCCAACAACTAACCAATGCACATCGGGGGGAGGGGGCAAATTTAATTTGGATACAAAACGCCAGGTTGAAGAGCGGTGGCTCATTTTGCTCACGATGATTTTTGTTAATTTCCCCCCATGTTCTCTGTACTTTCCCTTTATTTTTAAATTATTTTTCTCTCTTTTGGTTCATATTTTTTTTAACTTTCACTTTGCTTTCGTTTTACTTTTATATTCTTTATTCATTATTATTTTTATTTTCTTTTGTCCTTTCCTGTCTTATCTCAAACTTTTGAACAGACTTGTCCATCGTTTTATTTTTGCCTTGATATTCCATTCTAGTATACAGGGCTTTTTCAACGTTACTGTTTTTATTTTCCATATTCTT